GTTGTGGCTGCAGAGGACTGAAGGAGCTGGAACATCTCTGTGACCCCGAGGAATACCACAAATAAAGGCTTGGGGGGAAGCTCCCAGGGAAGGTGATGACAGAATTTTGGGAACAATGGGGTCAGTGATGGCAAGAGCTCCTCAGGCCACCCAGGACATCCAGCCAAGAGCAAGAAGAATGATGACAACAAACAGCAGAAGAGTGAAAGGAGGAACCACCAGGCTCCTGTCAGGGACAAACTGGAAGCAAAAGAAAGGGAAAACCCCCCAGGGCAGAGCAGGTTGGGCTCCTGGTGGAGCTCCAGGCTCTCAGCCACTGGAGCTGCACTCACCCTCATGAATCACAAAACTTGGCCCAACATCTCAGCCGATGGAAAGGTCTAGAAGGAAACCCAGCCACGTTCCAGCCAAGGGCAGCCACAGCCACCACCTTCCATCCATTTGGTCAGGGGGAGTCTGTAATTTACAGGGCAAGCTGTGACTGTTCATCTCTGATGTGACTTCTGCCTCCAGAGATGGTGTGAAGGTTGGAAACCCACCAAAGGTGCAGCTGGAGGTCAGAGCGCTGCTGAAAACGAGGAGCTGAGGAAGATATCAAAGGTCAGATGGGGTAAATCTGTCCTGAGCACCAAGATTCATCACAGAGGCCAAGAGCTTCTGACCTCCAGAGCTGTTCAGGAGGAGAAAACAGAAATCTCTGGAGTAAAGCTGGACCAGGTGCCACCCCAGCCTCTGCAGAGGAGCTGCAGAGCTTGTGAGATGTGCCCACGAGAGGAACCTTTGGGATGAGGGTGTGAAGAGCATCTCAGAGCCAAGAGGAGAAGCAGAGCACTACTCAACCCTGGAATGACCCTCAGCAGCAGAAAAAATGACTCATTTAGTGCCTCCTCAGCCATGGGTCTTCCTCCCTCTTCCTCTGGGAAAAGGGAAAGGACGAGCCCAAGGGGCTGGGGTTGGAATTGGCTGCAGGGAGACTCCACTGCTCGGCCTCTTCCTCTCTGAGAGCCAAACCTGTGGGCTGAAGAAGTGGGAAAAGGTTGATGGTGACCACAGAGGGAGGATGTGGCAGCAGGGACAATGCCAAGAAGGGGGAACAGGAGCCAGAGAGGAGAGGTCTGAGGTGGCTGCTTGTCCTGCCATCAAATGCTCCCACAGGCTGGGGGGGTGGTAGCACCTCCTGAGGCTCAAGGGATGGCTGGATCTGTAGCAAGGCAGAGCAGAAACAGCCCGAGAGGTCTAAATCGAGTATTTCAATGAGTATTCAGGAGCTAATCCAGCGAATCCTGACTGGGTCTGACCTCAACACGCTGCAGGAGCCGTTGTGGGCAGGCTCAGAATTAGCTGGTGAGGATAAATCAAGATTCAAGCCTGGAGATGACCAAGGAAATGATTTTTCCCTTTCAGGGGGTGCAGAAGGGAAGCCAGAGGAGCTGCCTGAGGAGCTCGTGGCTGACTGTCCCACCCAGCAGCTCCCCAGGAGAAGCCCACGGTGCTGGGTGGCAGGTTCACATCAGATCAGGCCAAATCCTGGAAAGGAGTCAACACTCATCCCAGCAGAGGAGAGATTTATCCATCCCAAGGGGAATCCCAGAGTTACAACAGGAAGAGGAAGGGGATGAGCTGGGAATACTCCCAGCAGAACCTCCCAGCCCAGGGCTGAAGAGCAAAATCTGGGGGGAAGGGGCTTGGGAGGAACCAATTTGGGTTTGATTTTTCCATCCATTAAGAAAGAAACCTTGAACTCATTTCTTCAGGGAGCTTTCCTCCTGAAGCTCTTCCCTTCTCCAAAGAGAAAGCCATGGAGAAGAGAAGGTTGGAACTGTGCTGAGGTTGACCCCTGACAGCAAAAGACAACACTGAGTTTGCAAGAAAAACCCCAATTATCTCAAATTTCTGCCTGAGTCACATAGGAAGAGACCCCTGAAATGAGGCTCCAGTGCTGGAGAGGAGGATGGGAAAATCTGGGGCTGAAGGAAGAGGCTTGTGGCAAGAAAGAGCAGCAGTGACAGGAGCTCTGCAGTCAGGAAGCCAGGAAGAGCCATCAATCTCTTCTTCAATATATAGACTGGAGGTGGTGGGAAGATTAGTCAAGGTATTGACTCAGAGGTTGACGGCGTTGTCGTGGAGATCCCAGATCTCTTCATCAAGCTGAGAAGTTTTCCTGACACCCCAGTGCAAAGGGATAGGGGAAATGGTAGAAGCAGAGCACAGGAGTGGGGGTTAAGGAGGGGACAGGTCGCCTGGAGCACGTGTTTGGGTCTCACCATGGTCCTTGTGGTGCTGCTGGAGGGGCAGAGGGACCTTTGGTGCTCTCTGCTCAACGATGTTCATCCACACCCACCTCCAATCAGCAGTTCCAGCCCCACTCTGCTGCACCCCCACATCTCCCCAAGCTTCCACAAGTCCTCACAAAGGGCTCCTGGGGCTCCAGAGTCAAGTGCAGGCATCAGCCCAGCCCAACCTTCAGAGGTTTAGTAGCTGGAGGTGAACCAGTGTGTGCCCAGCTGGCCAAGGTGGCCACCAGCACCCTGGCTTGGGTCAGCACTGGTGTGGCCAGCAAGAGCAGGGCAAGGATTGTCCTTGTGGACTCAGCACTGGGGAGGCTGCCCCTCAAATCCTGGGGTCAGTTTTGGGCCCCTCCCTCCAAGAAGGACCTGGGGGGGCTGGAGCGTGCTGGATATTTAATCCCCCAAGCCCCAAGCTGCAGCCCATGGGTCCAGATCTCCCCATCCTGGTTTTTCTCCCTGTCCTGGTTTTACAGAACCATAGAATGGGTTGAAGGGACCTCAAGGACCATCTCATTCCAAGTCCCACCACACCAGGTTGCTCCAAGCCCTGTCCAACCCAGCCTTGGGACACCTCCAGTGCTGGAGCATCCACAACTTCCCCAGTTTTTGAGTCATCATCTTTTGGTAGAGAGATTTAGAAGCACTCCCAAGGTCTGCACCTTCAGAGCAGAGCTGGGTGGTGGCTGCCAGCAGGTCCAGGCCTGGGCTCAGGGCTGCAAAACGTTTACAACCCCTTGTAAATCTCCAGAAGTGTTTAAGAATCACTTAAATTCCTCCTCCTGTGAGGTGCAGGCTGAGCCTGGTGTCTGTGGCTGCACCTCCCAGGAGATGGCTGCTTGGAATGACTTCCAAAAAAAGAATAACCCCCCCCCCAAGAGAATTAATTAAGCCAAGAGCTAAAGAAATAATGAAAGTATCTGAGCTGCAGCAGGTGAAGTGGCTCTGCTGTCCCTTGAGTGCAGAGCAGCTGGGATTTGGGGATGAGGGTTGGGAGGAAACAGGTTCCTCCTGAGGGGGGATCCTGCCCAGAGGTCCAACTGACCCCCCAGCAGCACCCAAGTGGGATGGGGAGTCCCTGGGTCCATCCCAGTTGGAGGCTGGAAGAGGGAAGAGCCAGATGGTCACAGCCTCCACCCCTCCACAGCCACGCAGAGCTCTGAGATGGTTCATTGTGGTTTCTGCTGCTCCTCAAAGCTCCCTCTTGGGTCTTGATGCTCTCTGCCCAGCTAGGACAGCAGCTCAAAGCTGGCTCATGGGGAGGAGCTTCCTTCCCAGGCCTCCACCATGCACCAACTTGGCCAGAAAGCCAAGAGAGGGATTTAGCAGAGTCACCTTGAACCTCGTGGTGACCAACCAACCAACCAACCCACCCGTGCTGCAGACCAGACTCTGGCCAAAGCCCAGGAGCCACCAGCAGAGAACTCTGGGTGACCATCCCTCACTCCTCCTCCACGGCTCCATGGCACAACCCCAACGTGGTGGGGCTGGGAAGGACCTCTGGGGATCATCCCATCCAACCACCCTGCTCCAGCAGCTCACCCATGACAAGTGCTGAAGGTATTGGGGTAAAAATCTGACACCACTTCACTGGCAAAGAGAAGAGGGGGATGATGGAGGCACCAGGGACTGTGTCCCACCCAGAGCAGGATTCTGGCAGACTCTGCTGTTGGTTTGCCCACACTCCTCACCCCTCACTCTAGGAAAGCTGCTGGAGTTGAACACCTCACCCAAGGGCTGTGAGATGTCCCCATGGATGCTCAGAGGAACTGATGTGGACACTCAGAAGAGAACTGGCAGCTCCTCTCTTTCATCCCAACTGACCCACAGCTCCTCAAAACCTCCAGTGCAGGTCAGGGTGCCAGGAGCTCACCCTCTGGTGCCTTCCAGTGCTCCCAGTGAAACACAAGTCCCCCTGGTGAAGGAAACCTCACTGGGAACATGCTCCAAGCAGTGGGTGTGTGATCTACACCCTCATTCCTCACCCAATACTTGAGCTACACACATGATGTTCTCCTTCTTGCTGTCCTTTATTTGCTCCTTTGCTGCTCACCCCTCCACATTCCTCGTGGATGTAGAAATAAGTCTCACCAGCAGCAAACCCCCACCCCTGCTGATGCCACCACCTCCATCCTGCCTCTGCTCCTCACCAACAAAGACTCAAGAGGCAAAAGTCCTGGTTGTATTTGGTGCAGTAAAGTGCAAGCCAAGGCAGCAGCAGAAGGCTTATTGGTGCAACCTGCTCCAAGGGCTGGATGTTAGCCAAAGGTCAAAGAGCCTTAAAAGCACCTCTAAGATCTTCTCAGGGATGCTTTGAGGCCACCAGAGGATGAAGGTGAGTGGGAAGGAGATCTGTCACATCTCCCTCTCCAACACCCACCTCTGGGGAACATTCAAGGCCCCCAACCAGCCTCCTTCAGGCACAACTTGAAAAAATAAAGGAGCCCACAGCAGCTGCTCGTGTCTCAGAACGTTCAGGTTGAAACCTCCTGACCTCTCTCACAGCAGGACGTGACACAGCCAAGGGGGAGGCAGAGACCTCAGGCTCCTCCACTTCATTAGGGCCACTGGGCTAACGAGGACACACCAAAGTGCTTCTGAAAGGAGCCAGTCCAACCTCCTGCCCTCCACGGCCCGTCCCAGGGCGGGGGGGTGGAGTCCAGGGATGGAGACTCTTCAGGAGAGGTGCTGGAAGCCCCTCGGGTGGGATCCTGCTCAGAGAACCTGCTCAGTGCTGGAGGAGGAGATGTCCAGCAGCCTCCAGGCAGCGTAGGGGTTGAGTTCATCCTGGTCTCTGCAGAGTGCCCACACGTAGAGCATCCGCAGAACCTTGTCCTGGAAGGAAAAGCCTCTTGTGAGAGCAAGGTGGTCACAGAGCTCCTCAGGTCCTGCTCCACACCCCCTCCAGACACTGTTCTGCTGTTGCCTCCAGCTCTGAGAAGGTCCAGAGGAAGGGCAGCTCCAGCAGCACCTCCCAGATTGTGGTTAGAAACTCAGCAGCACCAGCAACAGAGAAACTTTTGCTTTCCAAAAGCAGAAGAAGAGTTTCTGACCACCTCTGGCTAGGGCTCAATATCTGTATCTCAGACACATCAGCTGGCACCACTGCCAAGTTTGATGAGATTTCTTCTTTAAACAGAGATTTCTGGTTTCAAACTGCTTCAGCTGCCAGGCTGAACACTCCCTGGAGCTTTCAATCCCATTTAGGCTCCTTCCTGACCCTGCCTGGGAGCTGCTTCCCCTCCCCACAGCCTTCTGAGCAGCTCCAGTTAAGCAGGAATTATCATCACCCGCTCTGAGGAGAGACAGCAGGTTGAAGAAAACAACATTTATCACTGAAAATCAGCTCAAACCCAGTCCAGGCAGAGACAGACACCACTTCTGCCATCAGATCTTCGTTGTGCAGACAGTGCTTTCAGCAGAGAGGGGGGAGAAAAAAACCCTCTGAGCTTTTTCCATCTTGATGTGTGTAATGAAAACAGAGTGGGTTTTGTTTGGAGGAAGTGAATGAGGGTGAAGGTCAGACCTCAGCACCTCCTGTGCCAGCAGAGAGGGGACAGTGGCTGTCAGAGCCAGAGCCCAGAGCTGGCAGAGTGCCACCAAGCCCTTCTGCAAATCAAAGGGGATGTGGATTTTATCCCTTCACCCTCCACCACATCGAGTCCTGCCCTCAGAGGAGGCAGCACTGAGGGATCAGCCTGTGGCTTGGCTCAGCTCCCAGATGTCTGCTTCACTTAACACTGGGGAGAACCTTTAGAGGGTATAATTTAGGCCTATAAATGTGAGGGGGGAGACTCCTGCTACCAGACCAGTCATTAGAAAAGGAATACTTTAGACACACCACCTATCACAGAGGCATTTTTTTTTCTCTTGCTGGGTGTTTTCAGAAGATTAACTTGTTTCTGAAGTGTTGACAGGGATGGAAAATGAATCATAGGGATGGTTGGGATGTGGCAGAAGGAAGAGCAGAGGGGACAAGAGAAGAAACAGAACAAACTTTTACCTCTTGGTGAGTGTAAGGTGCTGTATGAGGTGCAGCAACACCAAGATCTTTCCTGAGGATAAACCCCAAAGTTTAAGCTTGAAGTGGGTAATGCAAGTGATTGAATATAGCCAGCAGAATTTTATTTGTAGGATTTTTTGTGTTTTTCCAAGTCCATTATGGAAAACTGGGTGGGAATCACCTCCAGGGAGGGGATTCTCCTGCTCTACACACTGTTGAGGCCCCACCTGGAGTTCTGCATCCAGCTCTGGAGCCACCAACACTAGAAGGACATGGAACTGTTGGGGCAGGTCTAGAGGAGGCCACAAGGATGATCTGAGGGCTGGAACCTCTCTGCTGTGAGGCCAGGCTGAGAGAGTTGGGGTTGTTCAGCCTGGAGAAGAGAAGGCTCCAGGGACACCCTGCCAGGATCTGAAGGGGGTCTGCAAGAAAGCTGGGGAGGGGCTTTTACAAAGGTTTGTAGTGAATGGACATGGGGTGATGGCTTCAAACTAAAAGAGGGGAGATTTAGGTTAGGAATTAGGAAGAAGTTCTTCATTGTGAGGGTGCTGAGACACTGGCCCAGGCTGCCTGGTGTCCCCACACCTCACTCTGGGAACTCAAACGATGGCAAGCAGGGAAAATACTGCAGCAATTATTTATTATTTAGAGAATTTCCACTTGGAGGCTCCTTTTCCCTCAAATGTCATTGGTTTAATACTCCTCAGGAGCAGCTCTCAGCAGTGAACACCAAATCAGAGTTACCAGCCAGCCCTGGTCTGACATTTGATTAAAGCTGAAGTTTTGTTTCCAATGGAGAATTTTAATGCATCTCCTTGATTTATTGCTGCTCCAGAGAAATCAGACAGCAAACAGACTTTGATATCCTGTTCAATAATTATCACATCAATATCTATCTTCTAGGAATGCAGTAATTTAATGCAAGAAATCACTCTATCAGCTATTCCTCCCCTGCAGTGGAGATGACAGGGCTGTATATCAGTCCAGATGGACCCAGTCAGTAAAATTAGCCCTTTTTTTTTGGTAAACTTACAGCCAGGGCTCAAAAGAATGGTTGGAAAAAGCCAATATTTCTTAAATGCACCTATTAATTTTCAGGGAAGGCTGCTAGAAACAGCCAAGCTCCAGGTTTCTCTCAGTGTGCCCCATTAGATATCATTAAGCTGCTTAAACACAGCTCAGAGACAACCCAAGCAGGAGCTGTCTGGGTCCTGAGCCACTTGAGAACAAAGGGGTTCCAAAAACCTGCTGGGCTGTGAGCTCTGGGAAGGAGAATGTTCTGTGCTTACCTCTGCCAGGCTTGGCTGAGCATCACTCACCCCCAACAGGCAGGTTGGGTTCAGTGTGTTAAAAGCTAAAGCCCAGCAAAGTGCAACCCCCAGAGGTTTGCTGCACAAATCACCCTGGGACAGGTTCCCATCTGAAGCCTGTAGCACATCCAGCACTGAACACAGCTTGATACAGGATGGTTTGGGTGAGTAAAGGCTCGTGGTGCTGTCAGATGTTTGGTGCTAGTGAAGGGAGGCAGCAGCCAAACCCCTCAACTTGGTGGTTTTCTCCATCTCCCTCCCATGATTTAACTCCAGCTCCCAGCCTGTGTGCTGCTCTTTGTGCTCTGCTCTGACAGTGCCCTTTAAGGAAGGGAAAAGGAGGCAGAAAACAGAGCAGGATGAGGTGGAGGCTGTGATGGAGCTTTCCTCAGAGCTGGATTCTGTCCCAGAGGGTGCCAGAGGAGAGGAGCTGCAGGATGAGTGCAGCAGGGAGTGTGCTGGCCAGGGCACAGAGCTGCTGGTGCTCACAGCTCCAGCTCCTCTCCTCCCTGGGAACTCAAAACCCCCTTTTCTCTGTCTGCTCTAGACTCTCCCACACAATAATTCTCTTAACCCTGGGAGTCTGACAGGAATAACCAGCCCACCCTGAGCTGAAGCAAGACCTCACCCACGAGATGTGCTACCACACACACCAGTGAGGGCAGTGTGAGGACACCCAGGGGCACCCACATGGACCCCAGACACCCAAGGGGGGTGGCAGGGGACCCAGGGACACCCCCCCACACACAGCATCACTTACTGGGTCACCTTCCACCACTTCTCCACTCTGGTTCTTAACCACCATCACGACCTGAGCCTGGAAAGTGATGATTAACACTGGTCCCTGCTCCATCATCTTCCCCATAGCCAGCTGCAAGGACCAAAAAAATGCCATTAGATGACAATTTCTGCAGATTTGTGTAAAAGCATCAAGCATTGAACACAATTTCTAGGGCTGGACCCTGCCAACAAGCCCCAGCCTCCCCCTGAGCTGAATCTGCTTCTTTTAATCAGGTTGTATTATCTGTTAATACAGAGGTTTTAGGGATTGCAAAGTATCTTCCCCAAAACTTTCCCCCATACTAAAAAGCTTTGTCAAAACTCTTCTGGAAGTCTTCAGAGTTTTTCCAAGTCTAAAAACTTGGGAAGCAAGAACAAGCTCTGTTCTGTTCTTTCCAAATTAGAAACCAGAAATAAAAGAAACCTTGTTTTCTTTTTTAAAAATGCCATTTTCTGTAGAAAGCAAAACAACTGAAGTTTTTTCCTCTTGCTTTTAAATTAATCTTCTGTGTCTCTCTAACAACCATCCCTGCATGGCATGGAAGTTCTGCATGTTATCACCCAGAGCAAGCACCACCAAAGCTCTCCAAGACATCCCCAGCTCAGTGCTATTTATTTTTTAGGCTTTTTTATCAGCTTTTCTCAATCTATACGTTGGTGATTGAGACCCAAGTGCCCTGGCAGAGAGGAGACAAACCACTTAGGCTGGATCAGCAGTGACTCTGCCCTGTGACCTCACCCTCCCAGCAGTGGTGAGCTGCTCCTCTGTCAGCAAAAATGGCAAAGGGCAGAGTAGAATGAGGCAAAAAACCAGCATTTAGAGCAAAAAAGAAACCCCCTCCTCAGGCCACGAGCTTTATTTTCATCCCCCAAGGTGAAATATGGAGCAGGACACTCACATCAATGTTGTCAATGTCAAGAATCCTGGAGTGGAACTGCAGGCCCATGGCTTTGGCTTGCTGGATTGGGTGAGCCAGCTGACTGTAAGTCTAAAGGAGGCAACAAATTTGTGTTACACGTTTGAATTTCTTCTGTCACAAAGAAAAAGGGATTTTTCTGCTTAGGGAGAACCACCAGAAAAGGTAAGAATAAAAATCAGCTTTCTGGAGCTCAACACCTACACCTTGCAAGGTATCCACCAGCTACACCAAATGCTCTGGGCTTCCCACAACCAAAATCTCAGTGAAAAAAACACCTCCCCCTGGCCAGATCAGGAGCTCCACGGAGAGCCAAGGCACTTGCAATGCTGATCTGACAGCAGACAAAGAGCAGCAGTCTGGGAATGAAGCTATTTTCCCTAAAACCCAGTCAGAGCCTGGAGGCAGACCAGGATTTCCTGGCTCCTTTTAGCCACACACACATATGCTGCTTTATTTATTCATCCAGAATGGTTGGGGATAGTGAGTTTCTACTGGATTCCAGCACTACCATGATGTTCTTGGTAGGTATCAAACAGGAGACCCCCACCCATGGGTCTCCCAACCTTCACCACAAGCATTTAAATGTCATTATCCTACAGAAATCAGTGGGAAGGTCACAGAATGGAGCTGGAGTTATGGATCAGGGATTTTGAGGACAGCAGGCAGAGACAGCTCCATGAGCCACACACTGTCCCCAAGCCAGCAGGCTGGCAGGAACCTGCAGCTCAGCTGCTTGATCTGCCAGTTCAATGAGTTTGTGTTTTACTGGTTTGTATCCCAACACTTTAGTGATCAACACCACACATTTGTGGTAGGATTCTGTTCAAGAGCCTTTATCTCCTGGATTTACATTCCTAAGAGGCTCCTTTCTTCCCTTGGTTTATTTTATGGATGATTCTTGACTATTGAGCTGAATTTCTAACCACAATTCACTGAGAAGGGGTTGGGTTTTATCTTAAAAACTGCAGCCAATCTGCTGCTTCCCTCTAGAGATCTGAAAGGAATTCTACAGAGTCATTTCAAAGCTTGCTTGGGCAAATAAAGAACTTGGCTTTCAGGCTGCTTTCCATATCTCACTCTTCCCTGCTGCAGTATTGGTTAGGAAGATGTTAATCACAAGAAATTCAGCTCAACCAATTGCCTCATCCAGCCTGTGTGTTTCCAGCCCTCTCTGGTGGTGATGACCAGCAAAAACATTGACTTTCAGCAGTTCAGCTCTTCAGAATGAGAACTAGGGCTCTGTGTTGCCTCTGACAGTTCTTTTGGAGCTGAGTGAAGCCCAGAACAAGTGTCCCTCTGTGCTGTCAGGAGGATCTGCTTCCCTGAAGTGAAGTGGACAATGATTCAACCACTGAATGGCACCTAAATCACAGTCACTGCTTCCAGCAGCAGATCCAATACTGAAAATCTAGCTCAGTACAAAAACAAACCCAGGTTCTTTTTGTACAGCAGAACAGAATTCACTTTCCAGCAGTGAGAAGCTGATCACCTGAAGCTCCAATTTCAGAAAAACCCTTCAGCCTGATGGGATTGTTTGCTGGGATATTGCCATGGAGCTGTTTGTGTAGCAGCTCCAGGGACAACTCGACTCCTTCAGCAGAACAGAATCACCTTTTTGGGGCAGCTCAAGTGCCTCTGCACCTTCTCACCCTTCCAAATGAAGAAGAGCAGTGCAGAACCAGAGCTAGTGAGGCTCCTTTGAGCTTAGCTCTGAGTTTGCTGTCTCTGAAGCAGCTCTTCTCTCACACCCAGACTGCTGAAGAAGTCTGCAATGCCTCCAGTTATTTATTATTCATTCATGTATTACTCTATAACCTTTCAGAACCTTTTGAGATGTTTTTTTGTGGCTCTACTCACCGCTTCATAGCACCAATCTTTGAGGATATCAAGCTCTCCAGACATCATAGCCTACAAGAGGAAAACCCCCCATGAAACAGGAGCTAAAATGCTTTCAAATAAACAACTCCTCTATCAGAGAGTTGAAACCATCAGCACTTGCAGCAGCAAAGGGCTTTAAAATTAACATCTTGTGGAGCCCTGAAGGACAGGAGCTTCAAAGCAGCAAGAACTTGAAGTGTGCAGAGTGAGAGGTGCACAAACCTTTCAATAATTAAGATGAAAGTTATTTTAAACCTTCCTGTCCAAAAAATCGGCAGAAAACACACTGCCCTGAGACCCTGGGAGGAAGGATTGGACAGAAGCAGGAGGACAAACAAGGTGTGGATCTACAGCTTTCAAGACTGCAAAAAAATTCAGGGCACAGAATGAACCTTCTGCAATTCATGAAAGGGTTTTCTCTTTAAAACACACTGTGATAAACTGGAATTCACCAGAAGATAGATGCTGGGAATTGAGCAGAACTCAAAATAAAGGTAGTTGTACATGGCAGGGTGTTTTTCAGTGTAATGACTATAAATCTTCATGCTTGCTGGCATCTGTAAGCTGCCTAGAGTTGGGATAAAAAACCCTCTCCTGGGAAAAATTCATTCTGCAGGAGTCAAGAGCCCATTTTTTGCAGCTTGCTTTAGTGACAGGGCAGTGTTAGGAAAAGCAGATTCACCAGGACAGCTCTGCCTTATTTCCCTGTCAGCATCCCAGCCCCAGAGCTGGTGCTGAGACACAAACCAGCCACACAGCAGTGACCCAACCTAACCAGGCATCAGGATGTTTGCATCCAGAAGCATCCAATTCTTTTTATTCCCCTCTAGAATAAATAAATTCACCTCATAAGTAGGAGTAGCAGAAATATTTCTCCCTGGGTATTAGCACCTATCAACTTGAGGTACAACCACTCACTGCAGTGCTCTGCAGGAGAATATAACACTTGGCTCTCTCTTAGTGGTTACCTCTTCAAGCCTCATTTTTTCCAGTCTCATAGAAATGTCTCAAAACTCTTCCTGCTGTACTTTCAGTGCCCTTTCTGATGTACTGTTAGAGGGAGAGCAACTCTCTCCATTTACACTTGAGGTCACAGCCTTCATCACTGCTATCCTCTGAGTGGTTTTATACTTTAGTCTTTAAAAACCATATAGTTCCACACACTTCCTTTGACTAGTGCCAGAAACATCTTCACTGAACCATTTATCATGACCTGGTCTTCTTCCCAAGCAGCTATAGATCACCCAGCAATGCTTGGAACATTCTTCCCCTTCTCAGTATTTGAGATCATCATTTTCTCACCACTGTTCATTCACCCCCTGCAGTTTGATCCCTCTGATGCCTGTATCATTTCTCATGGGAGAAGGCAGTTGGTTGTTTTCAAGGCCAGAAAAATCTTGGCTAGTCTACTAAATGATGAAAGAAAATTGTTATGGGGGCCCCAACTTCCTCATCTCAAGGTTATCTCCTGTTCTGTGCAAAGCTGGATGCTGGAGAAGCCAAAAACTGTCCCAGTTGGTCATTTTAGCACCAGAAAACAAACAAGAAAAATCTACCCTCTTATAGTAAAAGAAGAAAAAGCAAAACAAATGCACCACAGTCCACCCCCACCTTACCTCCAGGACATTGGGGATTATATCATGCTCACACTGCTTTAAAAAACGATCCTTGTCAAAGGATGGATCCACTTTGAGGATCTCTGTCAGCACTTCAGACATCTCTGTCTTGGAGAATAATCCACCTAAGAAAACAACTCAGTGAGCCAGTGCTGCTGGATAACGAGCCACACAACAAACTACAAAGCTCCAGGATCCATCCCAGAGGGCAGCAGCACAGGCCCAAGGCACTAATCCGCAGCAGGAAGGGAGCTGAAGGGAGGGCAGGTTACCTATCAAGTCAGTGACTTTGTCTGTGACAGCTCTGGAAGCTCGAATGAAGGCGTTATCACTTTCATCATACTTCATTTTCATCTCAAAGAACCCTGGAAAAGAAAAGAGAGTTGAGCAGCAGTGTCCTTCCCCTCCATTCCTGCAGCAGGGAACAAGGTGCAAGGGGCTGCAGATCAAAGCTGCTAGTTCTCTTCTCAATCTCTTTGATTAACAAGTTTTAATGTCAACAGTTACTTTTCTCCTGCTGTTCCTGCCATGTTCTGAGCTATCAGTGCCTGTCACTAGGAGAAGAGGGTTTCTCTCACTTCAGCTGCCAGGAGCTCTGCCCTTTCTATGCAGATTGGGAGGCAGAAAATACACCTCACACCAGCAACAGTCTGCTCACACCCTTGATTCAGTCTGCTACAAGAGGGAGCAGGATGCAAAAACCACACCAGAAAGTTTAACTGGGGGTGGGGGAAATCAAGAATAGACCTCAAACCTTGCCAGTTTTTAATAAAACAGCAAGCTGGCAGTGAGGATGCAGTTTTAAAGCAGCTTTTGATAAGAAAGCTTGATAGGAAGGCAAGCCAAAGGTGTTGCAGAACTACAGAACTCATGGATGGGGAGGGAGAACTCAAAGGAAAATCTAAAAATCAGAAAGAAGGGCTTGGGGTGAAAAAAAAGCCACTTAAGCAAGCAGACATCACTGCAACAAAGGGCCCAACCAACCCATTATCTGTCCCTGGACATCATCAGATGGAGCAGAGCTGCAGAAGGTAGTTGCAGGTTAATGGGCCCTGCAGGGATCCTTCTTCCCACCAGGTCAATTAACAATTGGAATCCTGCCCTGAAGCTTCTGCTCCTTCCAAAAACCACAGAGTGTTCTTGGTACAGCTGAAGGGAGAGCACATGGTGTAGAGCCTGGAGCAGCCACTGCCTGAACTGCAAAACCACTGCCTTGGAAATCCATATAAAAGCTAGAGAACACAGCAAGCTGGTGCAGATGGCAGAGGGGTGGAGGAGTTTTGGGAGCTCTGAGCATCTCTCCTTGGACAGGCTAACAAATGGGATGTTAAAAAAATGCTGCTTTAAAAGAAATTGGGAAGAAACACAATCCAAAGTGAATTCTATGTTGCACTGACACTGTAAAAGTGTCTCTTTTTTTTTTGATTTAACAAGTGATGGCCCCAGCAGCACACTGGCAATGATTCTTTGGGTTTGTTGAAGGATTCTGGTCTCAAGCTTCTTTACAGCTTTCAGCCACCAAGTGTCCAGACACCTCTCAAGAGTCACTGCCCACTGCAGTACAGCTATTCAGTTGTTCTGCAATAAAACCAGGAAGGAGGCAAAGTCCCACACGTTCCAGAGCTCTAAGCAGATGACAACAGAAACCAGCTCCCTGCAGCCAAGATATTTCTCTGTTGTAAGCTCAAGGTGAGGAAGAAGAGCTCTCCCTGCTGACATGCACACAAGCCCCAGCCTCTTCCCAGTGCCAGAGTGGAGCTGACTAGAAAATTCAAAACAAAACCCCTGAAACAATGAAGAGGGTTCATAAAAACAACAGTGAGAGGAGGTTTTGGTGCCTACAGGGAGTAGGGACTGATCAGAAGTGATGCCTGGCTGGGGGAGGGCTCTGAACACAGATGGAGCAGCTTGGCAAAGCTGCAAGGCTGTCAGCAACACCCACCTCCCCTTCACACCACCACAACAGGGGAAAAAAAAAGGGGTGAGGGGTTTGCATTCTGTTGAGACTAGTTGCACAGATGGCATGGGATCCAACACAGCAAGAAGCAGGAGAGGGAGAATAAAGTGCTGCTCCTTTGTCTTTGCAACACTTACTATTGAAGACCACGTTGTTGTCCTTGAAATCTTTCCACTGCTGGTACCATTTGGAGTCTTTGTGCAGCACCACACCCATGGCCTCCCTAGAAAGCACAGAAAACATGAATAGTGGTGAACAAGTGGCCTACAGCCAAGAGAAAACAAACCCAAGGCCACCCTGAGGAGCATCACCACATGCCACAACAACACAGGACTGGGTGGAGAAGGCAGCAGAGGAAGGAAAGGAGCTCAGACTGAGCCCTGCCAACATAATTCAACAGCAAGATGTTCAAATGGAGAAAAGGCAGCACAGGCACAAGTCAAAAACCCCCATCAGTACCTTCTGTAGCCACTTTCTCATCTGAAGTGCCCCATTTCACTATCAGGAGATTCAGTTTCATCAACTGATGGGAGATTTGAGGGCACGCCTCACCCCACAGCCTTCAGCACTTGGATTTTAACCCTCCCTGACCTGTAGTTCAGTCTGAAAAGTTTTTAGTGATTTACACCCAGCAATATTTCCCCTAAATGGCATCCCATACGTACTCATTAGCTTCAAATATTCTCTCCTCTTTAATCCTCTCCCCTGAGAATTCTGTTCTTTTTCGTAGTCGCTCCGGACGTTTGTAGGGACCAGTCTGCCCCAAAACACTTTCATCTATTTCCTTCTTAACAGTTTCTACTCCCTGAAAGGAAAATAGCTCTTATTAGGTTGGTTTAGTGTTCCCCTTCCCCTTTCCCAGAAACTGAAAATTGCTTCTGCTGAAGAAAATGAAAGAAAAAGATCCAAGAACCAAAAGAAAAGATCCAAGACCCAAAAGATCCAAGACCCAAAAGAAAAGATCCAAGACCCAAAAGATCCAAGACCCAACAGAAAAAGATCCAAGAGCCCAAAGAAAATATTCCACTATTCTTCTCTCCCTTAGCAAATGTTTCTTTGCTGATGTCTATTGACAAGCACACCAGAACCCTCTGCTGAAGATGTTAACAGCCTAGGACAGCAAAGGGATGGGTGTATTGCATCAACCTGAAATTAAGGAAAAAATCTATAGCTGAAGCCAAGGACACAGTCAAAGCTTACAGTTGATGTAAGGGGGAATCTCTGCAGAGCTTAAATGGAGTCTCTGGAGCCAGAGGAAGGCAGGTGGATCAGCCCCCAGCAGCTGCTGAGAGGATGGCAAGCCCCAGGTAAAAGGAGGAATGATTCCTCATAGCCAAAAAGAAAGATTCTGGGACACCAACAACTGCAAGGTCAAGAAAATCCAAGTTCTAGGCCCAAGCTTCAACAAACTAAAGTGCTGCTCTCCCCAAAACAAAAAGAAACCTCAGTTTTTGTAGAATCCTACACACCTTCTGCCTGAGAAAACAGCCTGGAATCAAGCTCTGTTTTGCCAGAGAAAATATGAAATAGAAAACTCATGGCAGTGTAGCTTATACTCAAGGAGAGGCAGGAGATATTGTCCCCCTTGGCTGAGGCTGCACCAAGACAGAGGACTTGATGAATCCAGACTGACAGATATCTCCTCAGTGAGCAGCTGCACCCACAGTTCAGGCTCTGGCAGGAGGAAGCAGCATCCTCCTGCCACTGCTGCTGGGGATTCTGGCCACACACTTCAGCAGGGATTGGGACTAAGAGGCATTTTTAGTGTTTCTCCTTCAATCTTGGCTGCTCTGCTTCTCATGCTGAATTTCTGAGCAGTGCTCAGGCAGGGCCTAGGCAGAAGAGATGCCAGAGAGCTGACACAAAGCAGAAATTGGAATTTAACTGACTTTAGACATCAAGGATAAGCAAATGAAAAGCTCCAAAGCTCAGGCTGTTCCTACTGACTCTAAAAGACCATCTGAGGGACTTGGCAGGGAAGAGAAGAAGACACAAGCCCCCAGAGATATCATCTAGCTCTACATTATACAAATAAAATATCTCCTCAAGACTGAAGCAATGGGGAGCTCAGAATGAGACTCCTACAACTTCTCTGTGTTTGGTTTTCTGAGGTACTACACCAAACAGTCTAAATCCTCCACCTCAGGAAGCACAGCAAAGCTACAAGAACTGCTCCCAGCCCACAAAAGGTCTGTGAAGCAGTTAAATCTGCCAAGGAATCAAAAGGTTTATTTGTTTACAGGGAAAACAGTCTTTAAGCCTCAAAAAAATGGACTTTAAGGTCGTTATCAAATCACTGCCTGCTTATGAGGTCTGGCCTAGCTGCTTGCTTCATGGAGGGGACAGTTCTTAGGTTAGCAGCCTGGTGGAGTCAGAGAACAGGTTTCATTAGAGAAAAGACAAAAAAAACCCCAGTGTATAATGTGACCTGCAGCTAGAAGTGACCTTTAGCAGATGATGTGTTATCAGAAACACAGAATGAGAGGAAGTTGACTGATGAGAGCCCAAAACTCTGCCTGGCCTGGTGGCTCCACTCCCAAGGCTCCCAAGGAGGCAGGAGAAGCCAGTTAAGGGGAACATCAGCTCTTAGGCTGACTCTCTGTTGACTGGGTGACATCAAACCACAGGAGTGGTTAGAGATTTCTAGAAAAAGAGAGCTTTAAGCAGGTTTATTCCCAAGAACACCAGTCTACAGAAGACATTTGCTGCCCTACCCCACAAACCCAGCGACTGGTTTTTCCAGCAGCAGATTTGAGCAGGAGCTCAGCTCCTCCAAGCTCACCCTTTTCTAGGGTTGTGAAGTAAATTCCAGAGTTGCAAAATCCACCTCCTGAACTCATCCCCTTCTGCCAGCTCTGGCTAAAAGGGTTCTGCATTTCATTTTACACTCAGCACAAAGCTGCACGTGACTCCCATGATAAGCAGCATCCACAGCACTGGGTCCTACAGAGGGACAGGACTCAAGTACCTGAGAAATAGCTTTGAAGGCTGCTGTCTTGCCTAATTTCTCCCCTCCTTTTGTCACTGACTCTGCAGATTGCTTGGCTGTCTTGGCTGCTTCTTCCACCCCTTCCTTTATCTTCCGGCCGATATCGCTCTTACTGACTTCATCCAAACTCTGCAACAAAACACAACAGGAAAGGTCATTCCAAGGGAAAAACTCACCAAAATAAACCCTTTTTGGGAAGGCTGAAGATCTCCTAACACACACACACACGACGAGAATGACCAAACCCAGAGTTACCTGGCCCAGGGCAGACTCACTGGGGCACCAGGGTTTGGCACTGCAGCATTATCCAACACCTCTGGGTGTGCAGAAGAGTTTTGGCTGCTCGTGGGACCACACATCTGACAGCTGCTACCCACAGACTTAAAAAAGATGTATTTTTTCTTGACTTCAAAGAGAAGCCAGAATTACAACACCCCAGCCCTTTCCTCTGAAAAAATCAGATGCTTCTTGCTTGTTAAGGGGAGGTACTGAAGTGGCTGAGACAGGTTTCTGCTGTGCAACTCCTCCTGGAAAATTGGGAAATGCTTTTCTCAGTCCCACAGCTTTATACACATCACTCTGGCTGTGTTTACAGAGCCAAAAATCTCACCTGCAAGGAGTTAAAAGGATTCTACCAGCAGCTGGGCACCCTTTCAGTCCGTGCTGCCATACACCAGGTCCTCCAGGAGCTGGGAAATCTCACTGGCAGCAGGGAAACAACCCTGGAAGGGTCACAAGCCACAAGAGCAGAGGAAGAGAACCAACAGGGTGACAGCACCAGCTGGTTTTTCCTGCTTTTCAGTGAGGTTTGGCTAACAAAGATGCTCACAGCACTTTCAGTGGTACTGAGAAGATAAAGCCCTTTGCTGATGTGGACATCACGTGCAGCTCCTGACTGTAGGTACAGGTGAAGCTACACCCAGGCAGGTTTAGACTGAACATGAGTGAAGGGGCACAGCAGAGAGCAGGGACTGGCTCCACGTGACCTTCACACTGCACTGAAGCTGTGAAAACCTTCACAACACTGAAATCCAGTGTCAGGGCAGCTGCTCCTCAGTGGGGATCCTGCACCTGAGGGACAAGGAGCTGCTGGAGAGAGTCCAGGGGAGGCTACAGAGATGGTTGAGGGCTGGAGCATCCCTGTGCCAGGACAGGCTGAGAGCCCTGGGGCTGTTCAGCTGGAAAAGCCTCAGAGGGGATCTGATCAATGCTGAGCAAGAGCTAAAGGGCCCCCGGGGGGCAAGAGGCTGGGGCCAGACTCTGTCAGTGGTGCCCAGTGACAGGACAAGGGGCAACAGGCACCAACTGGAACCCAGGAGGTGCCACCTGAGCAGGAGGAGAAACTTCTTTGGGGTGAGGGTGCAGAGCCTGGAGCAGCTGCCCAGAGAGGCTGTGGAGTCTCCTGCTCTGGAGAGATCCCAAACCCTCCTGGCTGTGACCCTGGGCACCCTGCTGGGGGTGAGCTGCTGGAGCAGGGGGTTGGAGGAGATGATCTCCAGAGGTCCTTTCCAGCCCCAACCTGCTGGGATTCTGTGAAGAGCCTCCTGAAGCACCTCTCAGCTGGAACTTAATGCAGAAGACCTTGTTCTCCCTTTAAGGGAGAGAGCAGTCAGTTCTCAGTCACTGCTGATACAATGACTTGAAGCAGCAGGAGGGAGAAAGGAGACTTGGGTGCCTGGCAGTGACTGTCAGGGTGAGAGACACCAGCAGCAGATCCTCCTCCAACACCTCCAGCTTGGTGTCACCTCCTGGGTCCTGACAGCTCTGCTGTGGAAGGAAGGCTAAAGACAAACCCAGCAGCACCCCCTGGCAGGCACGTTCACCACACAGGAGGGAGCAGGAGCAGCAGTGTCCTCTCCAGGATCTGCTCTCTCCTCCTCCTCCTCCTCGTTGACTTCATGAGTGTCCATGCTGAGAAGGGGGCAGAAAAAGGGGAATGAGGAAGCAAAGGTTCTTGCACCCACTGAGGACTGTCCAAACAGCCCACAGGTCCCATTACACTGCAGATCAGCTTCTACAGGTGCCACACAGACCTGATTTATTCCAGATTTTAAATAATATCAGGAAGATTCCTCAGAGTTCTTCCACAGTTGCCTTTTACCTCTTTAACTGTGCCAGTTATTTCTTCAAGCTTCTTTTTAATCACTTCTGAGGTCTTCACTGTTTCAGATTCAATGGTTTTCTGTGGAAAAAAAGAAGAAAACAAACATGCTGCATGTCACTATGAGGACAGAAAATGCTCAAAACCAACTCAGCACAGAGCAAAACACTGCAACTGAGGGCACAAGGAGCTACATTGTAGGGAGCTGGGCACTACTTGAGGAACCAGCATCAGCTTTTCATTTACACAATCAGCACTTTCTAGTCCTTCAAAGAATGGAAAAGAAAATACTTCAATTTCACCCACATCCAATTTAATGTCTCATCATTTTACCTGCTGGTTACCTGGGAAACCCAGTGAAAGGTCTGACAGGAAGATTTTCCACTAAAGGAATCCACCAAACCACTCTAAGGCTTCCATGTACCACTCAGGATTTCCAGCCAAGCAGAACTTCTCATCA